GATCCCAATCCCGGTCCTGGGGGGATCCTAATCCCGGTCCCGGGGGAGCCCAATCCCGGTCCTGGGGGGATCCTAATCCCGGTCCCGGGGGAGCCCAATCCCGGTCCTGGGGGGATCCCGGTCCCGAGAGAATCCCAGCCCCGGTGCCGGGGGGATCCCAGCCCTGGTCCCGGGGATTCTCCGCGGTCGCGGCCCCGCCGGTCGGTGCTCCCGGTGCGCCCCGGGCCGGCCCTGCTGGGCGGCTCCGGTCACATGCGCTCGGGGCCGGGCTCCGGGGGTATAAAGGGCGCTGGGGAGGAGCGGGGCGAGCCCGGAGCCACAGGCGAGCCGAGCGGAGCCGAACCCAGCGGAGCCACCAGCGGTGAGCCCGATCCATATCCCGGTCCCGATCCCGATCCATATCCCGATCCCGATCCCGACTGGGATGCCATTTTCGATCGCAGTCCCTGTTCCGCTTTCGATTGCCATCCCGATCCTGGTCCCGGTCCAGATCGCGATCCCGGTCCAGATCCCGATCCCGGTGCCGGTCCCCGGCCCCCCCCTGTCCCGGGTTTTCCCGACCGCGTGGGAGCAGCCCCGGCCCACGGAGTGGGAAACTTTGGGTCCGCCCATCCGGGGGGTTTGAGGGGAGTGTTGGGGGGGGTCTGACCCCACTCACGGTCCTGTCCCGTCCCCCCCAGCCCCACCATGGCCACCCCCGAGCCCGCGACGGCGCAGCCCAAGGCGGAGGAGCAGCAGGTCAGTGGTGGAAAGTGGGGGGCGGCGGCTTGGGGGGGAGGGACGGGGTTCATCCCAAAACACGTCCTGTCTTGCTCGGGGACGGGACTCTGCTTTGTTCCTTCACAAGGCTGGGAGAGCCCCGGGAGCCCCCCAAAACCATCCCTGAGGGGGCGTGGGGCACAGAGTACGCCCCGTCCCCTGTGAGATTTGGGGGTCCCCTGTGAGATTTGGGGTCCATCACCCCCACCCTGACTCCTCCCACGCCCCCCAGAGCATCGGGACGCGCGTGGCCAGCCTGCCCCTGGTGAGCTCTGCCTACGACATGGTGTCCAGCGCCTACAGCTCCACCAAGGAGAGCCACCCCTACGTCCGCTCCGTCTGCGATGCCGCCGAGAAGGGGGTGAAGACGCTGACGGCGGCGGCCGTGAGCGGGGCCCAGCCCCTCCTCACCCGGCTGGAGCCACAGAGTGAGTGGGGGGCAGAGGGACAGCACCCCACGGGGGCGGGGAGCGCCCCAAAACTCGCCCTGGCAGAGCTCCGGTGAGGCGGCAGCAGGGGGATGATCCGGGTTGGTGTGTCAGCTTTGTGTGGCCGAGGGGGAAAGGGCTGGAGCAGCACCCCCTGAGTTCTGGGGTGATGGAAAACTGGCTGTAGCAGAGCTCCTGCGAGGCAATGGGAGAGGGGTGATGTGGGTTTGTGTGTCAGGTTTATATGG